TTAAGCGCTCAAACTTTAATAAACTGTATAATAAAGAATAAAAAAAGGTACAATTTTGTACTATATCAAAAGTGAATAGGGCAACAAAAAATGAAACAAATTGCCAAAATAAATACTTTTATTACATGAGTAACAATCTACATGTTCATGTCTTTGCATCGTTTATCCGAAAGTTTGGCCCTTATACTTATCTGTCGTCTGTTTTTCTCGCGATCATTGACTAATTTGGAGCGGATTTTCGAGTAAGGAAAATCAATTGCATTTTTTATTCGAAAACCTTCTATTTCTTTGCGAGCTAGAAAAAGATTTACAGTATTTAAATATTGCTGAAACTGATTACAGATTCTTAGACTATGAGAAGAAATGGTGGTATCAATAGCTTTAGAGTGTTTTATAATAACCTTGAAACTTACTTTTTATCCAAAAGTGATTAATGTCAAAAATAATTGAAAAACAACGTAAAAATTAGTCGTCAACTTAATTCTTAATCATACATTTTTTTGGAATGGTAAAAATTACTTACTAGGCCAGTCAGAAATTCTTCCGCAGATAAAATCCCCAAAGTAACGATTCAAAGCTTCAGCCTGCTTTACACTCCACTTTCTTGGTTTTGATTCTAAAAGATATTGTATTGGTAAAACTGAACTTGTTTAAAGAAAAAATACTTTTCTAATTTTAAATAAATGTAACAAAGTTTTTGTAAGTTTGAGTAAAATAAAAATACTGGAACTAAGATCTCGTTTTTCATCTAAATCAAAATTTTCACTGTCCTCATCTTGGCTTTCATTAGTGTAATCAGATTCACTTTCTTGAACCTTTTCTTCATTATTTTCTACATTTGCATAATTAACTAAAAGTATATTACAAATTATATTATTAATTTTTTTAAAATATAGCCTAATAAATATTTTTTATTAATATGCTGTAAAAAAAAAATTACCTTTTTTGAGTGACCTTTTTGGATAAACTTTTAGGTTTAAACCGTTAAAAACTTTAGTGAAATTAGCACCAATATTTGACTCAATTGCCTTTACTGATATTTCTTCTTGTTCATCTAAAAGTTAAATGATAAGTTATGGTTTTTATGATAATACTAAAGATTAATTAAATATTGAAAAATAAAAATTTTAAGTTTTAAAAGTCACCTGATATAGATGATGAACATTTATTTTTTAAAGTTGGATTATCAACCATAATTTTCTTAAGAGGAAAATCACCAACTTTCTCCTTAATGCCAAAAACACCACTACCTAGATATAGATCTTTTAGAATATAAAACAAATATTTAAATTTATTATAAATATCATACAACTTTTTTAAAAGTTGAAATAGATAACCTTTTAAAGTTAAAGTGTGAGAGTCATTTTCCTTAACAATATTCTCATCAGATTCTTTATCAACAACTTTCTCATCAGATTCTTTATCAACAACATTATAAGATTCTAGATATTTTATAATACAATAAAAATTAGTCGTTGTCTGTAAAGCACACTTTAACTAAAAAAAAAAAATTAAAAAGCAGATACCTTTTGTAGGCAGATCCTGTATCACATCAGATTGTCCTAAAGTAAATTTAACAAAACAAAGTTTAATATATTTTGTGTTCATTTTGTGTAATTTTATAAATAAAAACTGTAATTTTATAAATAAAAAAAATTAAGTAAGGCCTAAAAACTCTTTTTAAACACCTTTATACTTAGTAAAAATTTTGGACAATTAAGCTTTACAAAATATAAGTAGAACATAAAAATCAAAAGATTTGTTAATGTACTCAAATTAACTTATAAGTACTTATGAATACGCCAGAAACTAATACAAAAAATACATACCAGCATCAATTTTCATTAGTTGTTTCCCAACACGTGTTAATTCCAATAATGTCAATGGAGCCTGATAAAAATCTTGATTCATTTTTTCAGAATGTCCCATATGGGAGTAAAATAACTCTTTATCTTTTTCTTCTACATCAAGAGATGCAAAAAGTGTGCTAATCCTATGCCGATTTTTGGTGGCAATTATGTCCTTTGGTGATTTTAATACTAACTTTGAACAAATTTTGTTCACAACATGCCACCCTGAAACATGATTTTCAGATCCTTTTGAGCTTGCAAATATAAACTTATTACTTGCAAGAACGCGACCAACTTTACGGAAACATTCGTTAGAAAGTTTTTTCATTGCAAGAATCGTGTCTCCTGGAATAATTACTGGTACTAGATGGTTATTACCTTTTCCAGTCATGTAAATAACTTTCATACTCTTCACTAAAATGCGGTCTAAACTGTCAAGTTTTTTCAGTCTTTGTTTATCAATCCATTCATCATTTTCTCCTTGCAACCAATCTGCTAAGAAAATTCGAGCAGGTTCACCACCTCTTCTGCCATTTAATAAAGTTATGCGTGCACATGCAGCATTTCTAAGCTTTTTATAACTGCTTTCATCATCAAAATGAAATTTACTGCAGATTGAACTCATTAGCTTTATTACGTGATTTTTAACAATAAGTAAATCATCTTCTTGTGGAAGTCTTGATGGTTTTCTTAAATTAATTTGTCGTTTTTTATTTAAATGGTATGTTGCATCACCAAATAGATAATCCTACCAACCCTTAAAAGATTGAATAAATTTGGAGATCTCAGCAGCTTCATCATCTTTCTTCCTTGAGTAAAATGAATACTGCACAAGAGTTGCAGATTTTTTGATAAGATAATACAAGTTTTGTTTTAAGCCTGCTTTAAGAGACAAATCTTCTCTTTTTGTATACAATTCTATGGCCTCAGAAAGTTGCTCAAAATTACTCCGATTAAACATATCTAGAGAGTTGGAATATAAAGCATGTATACCATCCAGCTGCTTAAAAATATTAAAGCAATTCGCAAGTCGCCTCATATCTTCCCTTACAGATCGAAAAACTTCTGCCGCTTTATCCTCTTTTTTGTGAAGTTTCCAATACAACTTAGAACCAATGTATACAATATTTTCGTCAGTGCAGCATAATTTACCAATCTCATCATTTCGAATTTTTCCTAAAACATTCCTTACAAAACCTGGGTCAAGATCTAGCGACTTGGGGATATCTAATGATTCAGTAGAAACTGAAATTGGTTCAACTGCATTAATTGTACTAAGTGAACACTTTTGAGCATGCCTGGTGAAGAACCTCTTGCTTATGAAACTGTTGCAAGCACTGCACCGCATTAAATTTTTATATTTGGTGCCACTTTTTTCACGTTGATATATAGGATTATCAGTGGAAGACTGACTTTTATTGTAAATTAATATTCCTTCTCTTCTTATTTTAGCAAAGAGTTTTTTCCTTACTAACTTTGGCTGATTCACAGCCTCAACAACCAGAGGCTCTTTTCCATGCTTATTTTTCAAATGTCTACTTAGCTTTTGTTTCAGTTGGCCACAAAATATGCAGAGTCTAGATGGTCTTTTATTATCTGATAACCTCTAAAAGAAGAAAAAAAGAAATCTAACATTTGTTTAGCACTTATAGAAATAAAAATAGAAAACAAAATAAATTCTTAAGTTTATAAATATAGCAAAGGTTACTTTTCCTGTAAGTTTCTTTTTGTATTCTACCTCTTTCATAACAAAACCCTAAACAGATAAACTAACTTTAAAATAACAAACAAAATAAATTTAAGAAATATGCTAAATGTAAATAATTTTACCTCAGTATTACAGTCATCTACTCTTTGGACCCCAATAAAGTCATCTACTTTTTTTATGGCAGGAATCTAAGTAAAGTGATCAATCAAAATAGTTAACTTTAATAATAATTTTTACACTATATAATTCTTCTACAACTCACAATTCTGTTACAAATAAAGCATTAAATATACCTTTAAAGATTCAGCATCGAAAACCTTCTCCAAAACAAAATCTAAAAACTCTCCCTCACTTTCAGGAAACTTTTCTTCCATTTTATAATCTATATATTCATCATGCAGACTTACGTCTTGGATGCGTAAGGAACTCTATTGGTATACAATATTTATATTTGGAAATTATCCAATTTACTTAGCCAAAATGCTGTTAATAATCAATAAAGTATAATAAAGGTAAGACTTACTATTTTAGAAACATACTTTAAACTTTCACAACTATCTAAACCACAATCACTGTCTCCAACAAATTCCTATTCAAATTATTGTAGAAAGTTGTGATTTACATACTCAATTTTGTAAATGTATTTATGTACATGAGTAAAATAAGTTTACAACACATATATACAATTAAATCTATTTGCAAGTATCGTTTAATACATAATCAAGAATAATATAAACAAATACTTTTACAAACAATTTATGACAATAAAAAACTAAATTAGCAAAAATTGATTCATGCAAAATATACAAATGTAACCATTTACTAACCTCTAAAATGTTCAAGTCGTCAAACACTATTGAATCCTCAGATTCCATGTTTAATTAGAAATTTTTTCTAAGATTATATTAATAATAAGAAAAAAATTTATTATTAAAAAGCGCAAAAATATCTCTATGATGACTAAAAAAACGCAAATAAGAAAAATTTTGCTCTAAAAATTTTTTTACTTGTTATATACCTAATACACCATTCTATAAACTTTAAAACTATAATTCAATGTAATTAAGCTAAAGTAAACGATTTACTTTAAAAAAACTTAAATAACTATAAGAATCCACAAGAAATTCAACAAAATATATAAGTACCCGCATTGTTAATTTTAAACGCATTGAGATTTTCGATGACTTAAACATGTGGAAATTTCAATCTTTTTGCTTCATGGGAAATTTTTGCATAAATTATCAAATTTTAACTAATAACTATTGTTTACAGAGCCTAATATGGTCATATAACTTATGAAAAAAATATATATATACTTATGAAATAAGCTTCAAAACTTTTCGGGGACACAATTATGTCCCCGTAAGACAAAAGTCCCGCAATGTCGCATTTTATCGCTTAAAAAGTCCCCGCAAGCTGCTATTAGAAATATATATATATATATATATATATATATATATATATATATATATATATATATATATATATATATATATATATACAGGGGCGGGTTTAGCTTTTTAAAGAGGTTAGTCAAAAAAGTCGATTGCGGATTTTACTGCCCCCTCCCCACGAAAGGACAGGGGGGGATAAAGATGAAATACAAAAAAAAGCACCTACCCCATTTGTTTGATAAATAAGTTATTTGCAAAGCCTTCAAAAAAGCGACTCAAATGGGGTTGCATATTTAATATATATATATATATATATATATATATATATATATATATATATATATATATATATATATATATATATATATATATATATATATATATATATATATATATATATATATATATATATATATATATATATATATATATATATATATATATATAGATATATAGTATTAAAACTAGCAAGGATCCATTAAATCTACAAAAATAAAATATTGTCTGTGGTATTAAAATACTTTGTGGGCATCATTATTGTGTTTAATTGTAACATATACAAATAATACACCTGTATGGAGTATAACAAATCATTAATTAAATAGGCAAGGTTTGCATAGTTAGGTGACTTGCAAATAAAATAAAAACTATGTAAAAGTAAACAACTACAATAACATTAATACCATAATTATAAAAAAACTATAATGTAATTGATTAGTATGACTATCATACTATGAGAAATGCAATAACACAAAAGCAATAATATGATAACTAACCATAAAAAACCATTTTGTTATTTTATTTCATTGATAGATATGCTATATAATGTTAAACAATTGTAATATTAATGTTCGTAAACAAAGTAATGCTTACATTTAATGTGTTGCATGTGTTTATTTTCTCTAAACTGTTGAATAATGATCAATAAAGTAAACTTCAAATAATGAAAGCTTACTAAATTAAAACCATATTTCAACTCAAATAACCACAAAAGGTAGAGCTGAAAAAAAGGAGAAAAAGTATATAATAGACAATGAGTATAATGCTCCTAATTAAAATAACAAAGATACAGTACATAACGGTACCAGTTTCGATTAACAATTGACAGGTAAAACTAAAGATAAATATAGAAAAAAAGAATACAATAAAAATTAGACATGTTTAAATTTATAAAGATAATACAACTTCATGAAAAAAATAAAATAACAACTAAAATAAAATAAATAATCCTTTTAAATAAATAAAACTGTAAAAAATAAAATAACTATATTTTTTAATTTAAAAATTATACAAACTTTCTATTTGAAGAAGATCTTAAAGATACTGAATAAAGATTAGTATATACAGTGTATATACAAACCTTTATTCAGTATCTAATTTACAATGTAAAAAACACATAAATTCTTCCCTAACATCATAGGAATTGTCTATTAATCTAATTATTAAAGACAATTATTCCTGATTGGAGCAGTCAGAAGCTTCATCAGCAATAACTGAAAAAATTTGATTTTCTTTTATTTCAGAAACCAAAATATTCTGGATGTCCTTTCCCTAACAACTTATTAATTCATTCTGTGAGGAATTAGAAATATAAGATGCATTCTTTGCACAGCTGTTAAGATAAAGTTCAAGAATTTTATCCCCACCTCTGATTCTGTAGTTTAAAAATTCAATAAAATTACCTACTCCACCCACTAAAGAATATTTGCCAATGACCATCACAATGACCTCTGAAAGCTATATTAAGTTGACCTAAGAAAATGATTTTCTCACAAAACAACTTTTTACAATTTAAAGCTATCTCCTTTTCACATTCTTTATTAAAATATCTATATTTTAAATATTTCTATTCATAGTATTTAAAACTGTGGAAAATATGGTCCAGGCATTATAATGTAGAATTTGTACTGCGTGATGATGTTCATAAATATTTCAGCTGAGTGATATTCATAATTATTACCGTTTTTCCCATGGTAATGTCTATTAAAAGTGCTCACAGCATCTGGCCTATATTTGAATGACTGAGAACAAATTTTTAAATCTAGAAGTTTTTGAAAGGTATTTATATCTAAACAAAAGGCAACACAAACAAAATGCTCCATCTTCAGAAGGTAAATATCTAAGCCATGAAAATTGTTTTAATGATAAAAGTTTTTAAAGATTGCCCATTTGTTTTTAAAAAAGAAGTTTCATCAGGAACAAAAACACTTTGAATCAAATTTTATATTTGTAAATCTTTCAAAGTAGAAGCCTTCGAACGAAACAACAAATTAACAATATCTGATGATGAACATAGAATAAGGTTCAATATTAAGATTAAACATAATTTTATATTTTAGGAAAAAACTGTTCTATAGTAACACTTAAGTCTTGTAGAACAGTTAAAAGAGCAAGAACACAAAGAAACACAGACCATAAAAATTCTTTACACATATGAAATGTTTCTTCCTTAACAAGGTCATTTTTTAATTTTCCTGAGTCTATAAAATGTGTGGATACAGACACTGCTAACAAATTATCAATTGATAAAAACTCATTTGGATACATTGAGCACAAGCTTACAAACAATGCATGATTACTGTAAAAAGAGGCATTTAAATATAAATCAATTGCTGTCAGTATTTTTAAACCCATTGCCAGACTATTATCGCCACACAGATAAATCCAAAATGAGCTAAATAAGCAATTGTCATTTGATTCAACTGAATCAGATCTGATCAGATCTGTAACAGAGCTGCAACTGATCAGAGCTGTAACTGATCACTGTAACTGATCACTGTAACTGATCACTGTAACTGATCACTGTAACTGATCAGAGCTGAAACAGATCTGATCAGATCTGTAAAAAGGGCAATTAAAAATTTTTAAAGTAAAAAAAAATCTACAATAAGCTTAATGGAAAATAAACTTGGATTTAATCATTTATTTACAATAAATCAGTTTGGTAAAAAGTTGAACCAATTAGATCAAGGCAAAAAATGTATTTTATAATATTATTACTATATAAATTTACATCCCCAAATGAACGAACGCAGGGATAATATGTTTACAAATTTTAAATGTAATTTTTTATTTTACTTGTTGGGATAAATAAAGTAAATCTTACTTCACCGCCTAGTTGTTCTTGACTCCTGAGGAATGTCGTGCTCTACTCTTTATTGACTTATGAACAGTCAACAACTGATAAAAATCTGACTTACGAAGGAGATTAATCTTTACTGACAATTCTGAATAAATAGTTTGTAAACTTTCAATAAATCCATTTTCAAGCAAATACCTTACAGATTGTAAATGCATGCCAAATCAAAAATTATTTAAAATTTATTTAAAACATTCAAAGAATTATTGTTAGAAAAGGCTTCTTTTAAATTAGTCAGGGGGCAATCATCATATATTTAAATTCGACTAACTTGGCCTGAAGTTACGCTACCGAACGACAAAAATAAAACAATTTAAAGTGCTTAAAAAAGTTTTTAAAATCTCGTCAGCCGAATAAAAGGGCCAGATAAGTCGCAAGATTTTTTTGACTAACTTGGCCTTAAGTTACGTTACCGAACAGTAAAAATAAAAAAAATTTAAAGTACTTTAATAATTTTTTGAAATCTCGTCAGCCGAATAAACGGGCCAGATAAGTCGCAAGATTTCTTGACTAACTTGGTCCGAAGTTACGCTACCGAAAAAAAAAATTACAAGACGGGGCTATTGCGTGCGCATATACTTATCATAGTTTAATTGGTATTGCTGTTTAGACCAAAAAAATAGAGATTTTATTTAATTTCAAAAATCTCAAAAAAATATAACCTATTTCATTAGCCTGATCGTTGTTTAGTTTAGTAAAAAAGATGTTAGTCAATGCGCCTAACAAGACTTACCCTAAACCCGCCCCTGTATATATATATATATATATATATATATATATATATATATTATATATATATATATATATATATATATATATATATATATATACTCATATAGTGTCTCTTTAAGAGCATTTTAATGTAAAAAAAGTCTCTTACGACTACAATTTTAATTACTCGTCTCTTAAGCTGTTTTTGATTGTCGTCGAAATGTCAAAGCAATTAATTTATGCGGAAGTACATTAAATTTAATTGTTTTTTAACAAATTTTTAAAAAACCGCAATTATAACGACTAGAAAGTTTTTTTTAATTAGTAGTGTTTTTGTTATTGATTTAATAAAAAACATTTTTTAAACATGCGTAAATGTTGCTACATCGACTATCTTATAGCTTGACTCGCAACGGAGTGCTGCTACATCGACTGACAAATAGCCTGACTCGCAACGGAGTGCTGCTACATCGACTGACAAATAGCCTGACTCGCAACGGAGTGCTGCTACATCGACTGACAAATAGCCTGACTCGCAAGGGAATGCTGCTACATCGACTGACAAATAGCCTGACTCGCAAGGGAGTGCTGCTACAACGACTGACAAATAGCCTGACTCGCAAGAGAGTGCTGCTACATCGACTGAGGGTTTGG